AAGAAAAAGAAATAAAAGAATACAAATTGGAAAAGAAAAAGTACAACTTTCACTGTTTGCAGATGACATGATACTATACATAGAGAATCCAAAAGGTGCTACTAGAAAACTGCTAGAGCTACTCAATGAATTTGGTAAAGTTGCAGCATACAAAATTAATGCACATAAATCTCTTTCATTCCTATACACTAATAATGAAAGATCAGAAAGACAAATTAAGGGAACAATCCCATTCACCATTGCAACAAAAAGAATAAAATACCTTGGAATAAACCTACCTAAGGAGGCAAAAGACCTGTACTCAGAAAACTATAAGACACTGATTAAAGAAATCAAAGATGACATAAACAGATGGAGAGATATACCATGTTCTTGGATTGGAGGAATCAGTATTGTGAAAATGACTATACTACCCAAAGCAATCTGCAGATTCAGTGCAATCCCTATCAAATTACTAATGGCATTTTTTACAGAACTAGAACAAAAAAATCTTAAAATTTGTATGGAGATACAAAAGACCCCGAATAACCACAGCAATCTTGAGGGAAATAATCGAAGCTGGAGGAATCAGAGTCCCTGACTTCAGACTATACTACAAAACTACAGTAATCAAGACAATGTGGTACTGGCACAAAAACAGAAATATAGATCAATGGAACAGGATAGAAAGCCCAGAGATAAACCCATGCTCCTATGGTCAACTAATCTATAACAAAGGAGGCAAGGATATACAATGGAGAAAAGACAGGCTCTTCAATAAGTGGTGATGCGTAAAATGGACAGCTACATGTAAAAGAATGAAATTAGAACACTCCCTAACACCATACACAAAAATAAACTCAAAATGGATTAAATACCTAAATGTAAGACCAGACACTATTAAACTCTTAGAGGAAAACATAGGAAGAACGCTCTTTGGCATAAATCCCAGCAAGATCATTTTTGACCCACCTCCTAAAGTAATGGAAATAAAAACAAAAATAAAAATTTGGACCTAATGAAACTTAAAAGCTTTTGCACAGCAAAGGAAACTATAAACAAGATGAAAAGACAACCCTCAGAATGGGAGAAAATATTTGCAAATGAATAAATGGACAAAGGATTAATCTCCAAAATATATAAACAGCTCATGCAGCTCAATATCAAAAAAAAAAAAACAACCCAATCAAAAAATGGGCAAAAGACCTAAATAGACATTTCTCCAAAGAGTACATACAGATGGCCATGAGGCACATGAGAAGATGCTCAACATCACTAATTATTAGAGAAATGCAAATCAAAACTACAATGGGGTATCACCTCACACTGGTTAGAATGGGCATCATCAGAAAATCTACAAACAACAAATGCTGGAGAGGGTGTGGAGAAAAAGGAACCCTCTTGCACTGTTGGTGGGAATGTAAATTGATACAGCCACTATGGAGAACAGTATGGACGTCCCTTAAAAAACTAAAAATAGAATTACCATATGACCCAATAATCCCGCTGCTGTGCATATACCCAGTGAAAACCATAATTCAAAAAGACACATGCACCCCAATGTTCATTGCAGCACCATTTACAATAGACAGGTCATGGAAGCAACCTGAATGCCCACTGACAGATTAATGGATAAAGAATATGTGGTACATATTTGCAATGGAATATTACTCAGCCATAAAAATAATTGAAAATGGGTCACTTTTAGAGACGTGGATGGGCCTAGAGACTGTCATACAGAGTGAAATAAGTCAGAAAGAGAAAAACTAATATGGTATATTAATGCATATATGTGGAATCTGGAAAAATAGTACAGATGAACCTGTTTGCAAGGCAGAAATAGAGACACAGATGTAGAGAACAAATATAAGGACATCAAGGGGGGAAAGTGGGGTGGGGAATGGTGGTGGTGGGGTGAATTGGCATATTGGGATTGACATATACACTCTAACATGTATAAAATAGATAACTAGTAAGAACCTGCTGTATAAAAAGATAAAATGAAAATAAATAAACTGCTATAAAAAATTTTTAAGGGAAAAGCAGAAGGGAAGTATGAGTTTAAATGATTAATCATCTACATGTGTGGGTTTTTGTGTATAGACATGTAAGTATATATATATGCAAATATAGATACAAATATGTTTATGGAATTACTAACATTTATGAATCATTGGATATATTTAAAGAGTAAAGTAATATATTTTTCAATGTTTATGTTGCTGAGTCCAAGCTCATAGTGCTCACCGCACAACAGACCAATAAATTGAGAGATGAGTTTTTGGGACAAGAAATAGTGACTTTATTTGAAAGCCAGCAGACTGAGAAGATGGTGAACTTGTGTCCCAAAGAACCATCTTGTCTGAGTTAGAATTCAGGCTTCTTTTATACCAAAAGGGGAGGGAGTAAAGTCAAACCTTTCCTGGTTCCAGTCAGCCTCTGGAGGGGATGTGTTAATTTCTTCCTTCCTGCAGTCATTCACAGGTAGGCCTAGTCAGGATGTTTCCTGTGAGCTAAACAAAGTTATTTTAGTTTAATGCTCATTACCTGGAAGTCAGTGTTCCCAGAGATGGGTCATTATGTACTGTTTAAGCTTATAGGCAATATCCCTTTAGTGATTAACTTGTAATAGAATACAAAACGTTCTTCTCTATTAAAATTATATTTACATTGCATGAGTCTTTAAACTTAAGGTAAAAAGAATTTAAATATATCTCTTTAAAAATGTGAGAGTATACATAGTTTCTCAAAATTCTATTAGGAAAAACACTAGAAAAAAGATTGAAGACCCCTATTGTGGACCACAGACAGTGACAGAAGGCATGGTCAGATGTGTACAAGCCTGGTAATGACTAACATTTCTACCTCTCCACATGTCTGGAGTCTTAGAGGTTCTTACACGAATTCAAAGAGGATTGCTTTGCCTTTGTAGAAGTTCTCCTTCCAGTCAGAAATGCCCTCCCTGATACTTTTTGTTTCTTAACACCTAGTCCATCTTTTCAGATCCAACTTAACTTTTACCTCTTCATGAAGCCATCCCCAAAAAACAATCCAGTGGGATTTCATTTTTCTGGTTTGTTGTTGCACAATAAACTTAACATATGATTACGTATCATCTTACATTGCCCATCTTACATTGCCCTTAAATGTTGCATATGAGTTAGTCTTGGCTTTATAAGCATATTGTAGTCCCCTTGAAGGTAGGGACCACATGTCTCTGATTTCTCCTACAAGACCTACTCAGCAGAGTAAGAGGCACTTAATACATACATGATCAATTCACAGCTTTATAGGGGGAGCAGGGACATCACACTAGCCCTATAGAAGTTGTAGGGTAATAGAAGTTGCCCTGTAGTACAATAGGCTGTGTAACAACAAAATCAAGTTTTGAAGTTAGTCCTGGGTTCTCAAAATTGTCTCCACCATCTCTTACCCTCTGGAGCCATGGACCTCTTTTTCCAAAACAAAGGAATACTATATATAGAGTGATTACCATGGGGCTTGACTCATAACTGATGCCCAGTTTGCAACAGTCACCTTCCCCTTTCCTGCCCATAGTGTCACCTGGAATAGAGAATTAGGCTTAACATCAGTTAAAAAGTACATGTAACATTGTTGTAAGATTATCCGTGCATTTTCATCCTCCTGGGGTGTGATCTGGGAATCAATTAGAATATAGAAAGTAATTTGGACTCAGGATTGAAATTCGCTAGTAAAAAAAAAAGAGGCTGACATATATTTTGCAACAAAGGGATGTAGTTTAGGTCAGTTCAAATGGGTCACCATCCAAGACTAAGTCAGTGTGACTAAGCCTGCTACTTATATATACCCGTGCTGTTGGGAGGGCCTGAGGAATGCAAGGCTTGCTCTCTCTAGGTCTGTACTAACTGGTCATGGTACTGAATAATAGCAACTGAATTCAGGACTTGAAGCCCATTGTGCTTGCTAAGACACAATTATGGTCAAAAACTATATTATATTTTTTTAAATTTCTTATTGCTTTGAACTAAATAATAAGAAGGGAAAATTCAGTAAACTCCTGTGTTCTTACATCACAATATTGGCTCCCGATTTCAGCTCTGAGCACAATGAGGTTTTTCCTGACACCCTGTCCACATTTCCCTTTATGCCCTCTCCTGCCTCACCTCACATTATTCTCTATCTCTGCACCGTCTCGTTCCTTCATAGCACTTCACTAATTTACTTGTTTTGCTTTTTGGTTTGTTATTATCTCTTCTCTTTTACCCACTGGACTGTAATATGTTCCACAAAACCTTGTTTCACTCACCACTTCACGTCAATTTTCTAGCACCGTTATTGACACATGCAGTTAATGAATAAGCAAATTAATATATGAAATATATAAATTATTGAGTGAATAAATTGCTCTCTCGGGAGAGGCAGAGAAATAAATGAATAATCTTGTTAAAGCCTATTTGTTGCAAAATAAAAGTATAGATGAAGACACAGGAGCACAGAAGACTTCCATCTCTGTCAGCAGTCTTGCATGTGAAAGTTCATAGGCTGACGCTGCTAGTAGGTAGGTTAGGACAGTTCTTGTGTAATTTTACCATCACTTTGGTCAGTTCACATTTGTGGAACCCACTTTGACTTTATCTCTATAGCCGAGTCAGATACCTGAGAGAAGTCAAAACCAAAAGAGACTTTTTTTTTAGTGACTCTTCTTGAAATGCTCCAGAGTTTCTCTTTGGCAGAAAATTTAACACAACAGCTGTACCATTGGGTTAGAGCTGATTTTAGAGCTTTTATTTTTGTCCTGCTATAACTCACATGCCATTTTCCATTCCACATTTTCTTTATGAGTAAACATGTTTCCAACTGAGTTTCCTGGGGACTGTGAGGCGTTATCTCTATTAAGGTATTTTGGCTTTTAGAGCACCTTGTTGGTTCCAGATACTCTGTAAGGTATTGCCAGCGGAGAATGTATTGCTCTGTTCTGCCTGTCTTCTCCCACAACCCCACAGTGCCGTGCTATGCTGTCCCACTTTCTCTTCTTGCAGGTATTTTTTCCATTATCACCCTAACTACACTGGCCTGTGAACGTTATATTGGCATGATCCATAACAGAGTGATCAGTTTTTCCTGGGCCTGGAGGGCCATTACGTACATCTGGCTATACTCACTGGTGAGGTCAGGGTCACCTCTCCTGGGCTGACACAGGTATATCCTGGATGTGCATGTACTAGGCTGTGCTGTGGATTGGAAATCCAAGGACACCAGCGACTCCTCCTTTGTGCTTTTCTTATTTCTTGACTGCATGGTGGTACCTGTGGGTGTCATTGCTCATTGCTATGGCCATATTTTATATTCCATTCAAAAGGTAAGTTGAAGAATATGAATGCCTCTCCTCCAAATTGTGCAGGGTAGAAAATTTTCTGTGAAAGAAAATCATGCTCTTCCCCACAGCTGATACAGCTCTAGGGGACGTCCCACTTGATAAAATTTTGCACTGTGAGTCACTCTCTGAAAAGATCAATGAGGAATGGCATTTACTCTCCCTTCCTCACTCTTTAAACTAGAAAAAGGAAGGAAAGGCGTTCTGGGCAGACAAAATCAATAACAACCAAAAAAAACCCTACATCTTCAAGCATTATTAGAATTTAAGAACTCTAATAAAGGGAATTCCACACTTCCCATAACTTTATTCATCCAATAGTCACATAAACCTACTAGAGAATGGTACAGATATTTTGTCTGGAAATCAGTTTTGAGTCATAAAGGACAAGAACTGACCACAGCAGGTTTCCTGTTAGGTGCTAGCAAGAAGGCGTCTGAAGTAACAGACTGGGGCACACTTCATATTCCAGTTTCTAACTTCAACCATGTACGTTTTCCTTACTCACTGCTTCTTCCTACTCTTTTCTCTCACCAAATTCTCCAGTCTCTTGCTCACTCTGCCAACCCCCTCTAGCTTTCACCTCTTTTAAATCACTTAGCCACATGCATTATTTTAAATCATGCCCCATTATCCTTAACTTTCATGTTCCAACATTTTTTATGCACATTCATTTTGAAAAAAATCAAATCCCTTGTTCAATCCAACTCTTTGTTTTCTGCATGACTGTAGCCAAACTACAATAAGTTGAAGAAAAACCACATTGGATTCCCAGCACCCACATTCAGCAAGCAGTGAGATGTCCTCTTAGCAGTGTCTAGCAAACTTTGGATCCCTAGATGGTCCACTCTCTATGCAGTTGCTATTACAAATCCTCAATTCTCATTTTACTCTCTTGCCCTACTATCCTCCCCTCCTTATTCTTATCAAACCGTCATGCTTCTTGTTTGTTTGGCAAAATAAAGCAATTACCAAGAAATTCCTTAACTCTCTGCCTCCCTTTATACAAACTTCTAGGTACCTACTCATTCTTTTTTTTTTTTAATATCTTTATTGGAGTATAATTGCTTTACAATGTTGTGTTAGTTTCCACTGTACAACAAACAAGGTGAATCAGCTATACATATACATATATCCCCATATCCCCACCCTCTTGCACCTCCCTCCCCCTCTCGTTATTCCACCCCTCTAGGTGGTCACAAAGCACTGAGCTGATCTCCTTGTGCTATGCAGCAGCTTCCCACTAGCTATCCATTGTACATTTGGTAGTGTATATATGTCCATGCTACTCTCTCACTTCGTCCCAGCTTCCCCTTCCCTGCTGTGTCCTCAAGTCCATTCTCTATATCTGCATCTTTATTCCTGCCCTGCCACTAGGTTCATCAGTACCAATTTTTTAGATTCCATGTATGTGCATTAGCATACAGTGTTTGTTTTTCTCTTTCTGACTTACTTCACTCTGTATGACAGACTCTATGTCCATCCACCTCATTACAAAAAACTCAATTTTGTTCCTTTTTATGGCTGAGTAATATTCCATTGTCTGTGCCACATCTTCTTTATCCAATCATCTGTCAATGGACATTTAGGCTGCTTCCATGTCCTGGCTATTGTAAATAGTGCTGCAATAAACACTGTGGTACATGACTCTTTGAATTATGGTTTTCTCAGGGTATATGCCCAGTAGTGGGATTGCTGAGTCATATGGTAGTTCTATTTTTAGTTTTTTAAGGAACCGCCATACTGTCCTCCATAGTGGCTGCACCAACTTACAACCTCACCAACAGTACAGGAGGGTTCCCTTTTCTCCACATCCTCTCCAGCATTTATTGTTTGTAGATTTTTTGATGATGACTATTCTGACCAGTGTGAGGTGTTACCTCATTGTAGTTTTGATTTGCATTTCTCTAATGATGAGTGATGTTGAGCATCTTTTCATGTGTTTGTTAGCAATCTGTATGTCTTCTTTGGAGAAATGTCTATTTAGGTTTTCCACCCGTTTTTGGATTGGGTTGTTTGTTTTTTTGATATTGAGCTGAATGAGGTGCTTGTGGATTTTGGAGATTAATCCCTTGTCGGTTGCTTAATTTGCAAATATTTTCTCCCATTCTGAGGGTTGTCTTTTCATCGTTTATAGTTTCCTTTGCTGTGCAAAAGCTTTTAAGTTTCATTAGGTCTCATTTGTTTATTTTTTATTTTATTTCCATTACTCTAAGAGGTAGGTCAAAAAGATCTTGCTATGATTCATGTCATAGAGTATTGTGCCTATGTTTTCCTCTAAGAGTTTTATAGTGTCTGGTCTTACATTTAGGTCTTTAATCCACTTTGAGTTTATTTTTGTATGGTATTAAGAAGTGTTCTAATTTCATTCTTTTACACGTAGCTGTCCAGTTTTCCCAGCCCCACGTGTTGAACAGCCTGTCTTTTCTCCATTGTATATTCTTGCCTCCTTTGTCAAAGATAAGGTGACCATATATGCATAGATTTATCGCTGGGCTTTCTATCCTGTTCCATTGATCTATATATTTCTGTTTTTGTGCCAGTACCATATTGTCTTGATTGCTGTAGCTTTGTCATATAGTCTGAAGTCAGGGACTCTGATTCCTCCAGCTCCATTTTTTTTTTCCCCTCAATATTGCTTTGGCTATTTGGGGTCTTTTGTGTCTCCATGCAAATTTTAAGATTTTTGTTCTAGTTCTGTAAAAAATGCCATTGATAATTTGATAGAGATTGCATTGAATCTGTAGATTGCTTTGGGTAGTTTAGTTATTTGCACAATATTGATTCTTCCAATCCAAGAATATGGTATATCTCTCAATCTGTGTCATCTTTGGTTTCTTTCATCTGTTTCTTATAGTTTTCTGAGTACAGGTCTTTTACCTCCTTAGGTAGGTTTATTCCTAGGTATTTTATTCTTTTTGTTGCAGTGGTAAATGGGAGTGTTTAATTTGTCTTTCTGGCCTTTCATTATTAGTGTATAGGAATGAAAGAGATGTGTGTGCATTAATTTTGTATGCTGCAACTTTACCAAATTCATTGATTAGCTCTAGCAGTTTTCTGGTGGCATCTTTAGGATTCTCTATGTATAGTATCATGTCATCTGCAAACAGTGACAGTTTTACTTCTTTTCCAATTTGTATTCCTCTTATTTCTTTTTCTTCTCTGATTGCCATGGCTAAAACTTTGAAAACTCTGTTGAGTAACAGTGGTGAGAGTGGGCACCCTTGTCTTATTCCTGACCTTAGAGGAAAACTTTTCAGTTTTTCACCACTGAGACTGATGTTGGCTGTGGGTTTGTCATATATGGCTTTTATTATATTGAGGTAGGTTCCCTCTATGCCCACTTTCTGGAAAGTTTTTATCATAAATTGGTGGTGAATTTTGTCAAAACCTTTTTCTGCATCTATTGAGATTATCATAAGTTTTTTATCCTTCAGTTTGTTAATATAGTGTATCACATTGATTGCTTTGCATATATTGAAGAATGCTTGCATTCCTGGGATAAACCCCATTTGATCATGGTGCATGATCCCTTTAATGTGCTGTTGGATTTTGTTTGCTAGTATTTTATTGAGGATTTTTGCAACTATGTTCATCAGTGTTATTAGCCTGTAATTTTCTTTCTTTGTGACATCTTTGTCTGGTTTTGGTATCAGAGTGAAGGTGGCCCATAAAATGAATTTGGGAGTGTTCCTCTCTCTGCTATATTTTGGAAGAGTTTGAGAAGGATAGGTGTTAGCTGTTCTCTAAATACTTGATAGAATTCACCTGTGAAGCCATCTGGTCCTGGGCTTTTGTTTGATGGAAAATTTTTAATTACAGTTTCAATTTCAGTACTTGTGATTGTTATACACATATTTTCTATTTCTTCCTGGTTCAGTCTTGGGAGGTTGTACATTTCTAAGAATTTATCCATTTCTTCCAGGTTGTCCATTTTTTTGGCATATAGTTACTTGTAGTAGTCTCTCATGATTCTTTGTATTTCTGTGGTGTCAGTCATTACTTTTCCTTTTTCACTTCTAATTCTGTTGATTTGAGTCTTCTCTCTTTTTTTCGTGTTGAGTCTGGCTAATGGTTTATCAATTTTGTTTATCTTCTCAAAGAACCAGATTTACTATTGTTTCCTTCATTTCTTTTTCATTTAATTTTGATCTGATCTTTATGATTTCTTTCCTTTTGCTAATTTTGGTTTTTTGTTTTGTTTTGTTTTGTTTTGTTCTTCTTTCTCTAATTCCTTTAGGTGTAAGGTAAGGTTTTTTGTTTGAGATTTTTCTTGTTTCTTGAGGTAGCATTGTATTGCTATAAACTTCCCTCTTAGAACTGCTTTTGCTGCATCCTATAGGGTTTGGGTCATCATGTTTTCATTGTCATTTGTTTGTAGGTATATTTTGATTTCCTCAGTCATCTCTTGGTTATTTAGTAGCATATTGTTTAACCTCCATGTGCTTGTATTTTTTACAGGTTTTTTTTTTTTCCTGTAATAGATATCTAGTCTCACAGTACTGCGGTTGGAAAAGATGCTTGATATGATTTCAATTTTCTTAAATTTACTGAGGCTTCATTTTTGACCCAAGATATGATGTCTCCTGGAGAATGTTCCATGTGCACTTGAGTAGAGATTGTATTCTGTTATTTTTAGATGGAATGTCCTATAAAAATCAATTAAGTCCATCTGGTCTACCATGTCATTTAAAGCTTGTGTTTCCTTATTTATTTTGTGTTTGGATGATATGTCCATTGGTGTAGGTGGGATGTTAAAGCTGCCTAGTATTATTGTGTTACTGTTGATTTTCCCTTTTATGGCTGTTAGCATTTGCCTTATGTATTGAGGTGCTCCTATGTTGGATGCATAGATATTTACAATTGTTATATCTTCTTCATTGATTGATCCTTTGATCATTATATAGTGTCTTTCCTTGTCTCTTGTAATAATCTTTATTTTAAAGTCTATTTTGTCTGATACAAGTCTTGATACTTCAGCTTTC